TAAGTGGCTTGTCTGGGCCGATTCTGGGCTCTTACCCTATTAGCATATTGTTAGCCATTAGCTGGATGGTCTGCAGCAATGGATGCACTTGCTGCCATTGTGCAGCAGTCACCACGCCATAAAGAACCACCTCTCACTCTGCTGCCGTGCTAAATGACGTCCAAGACATTGTAATGCTCGCTGGCTGTCCTCCGCCAGACCATTCAAACGACCGCTAAAAGCCCGGTGAGGGAGGGGGGGAGGCAAAAAAGGGCCAAAATGCAAAATTAATGGAAATTACATTAGATTCAGCTCATGCTCCTCACTGTGTAAATTATGCCCCAAAATGGACTCTCTGGCCCGACTGTTGGCTCCAATTTGTGAGGCCATACCTCACGGTGGCTCGTCTTGTCCTTCCCCTCTCTCTTTAATCCAATCACGGCCACACTGGATGTTATTTATTTGTTTATTTATTTATTTTCGAAGGATGTAACCGATTCTTATCAGGGCAGAAGTGGGGCCTTCTTCCTGGTGAAACGGTGACTAACGTCCAGCCATCGATCCGTCAGTTCGTCTGCGGTGGAGGGTGATGCTTCTGGTGATAGACGTGTTTGAGTGTGTGTGTGTGTGTGTGTGTGTGTGTGTGTGTGTGTGTGTGTGTGTGTGTGTGTGTGTGTGTATAGATAAGAGAGTTTAGTTTATGGAGCCTACTGGAGTCAATAGTGCAAATATGGTTGTGTTTATGGTTGAAGGATAGTGATTTAATGTGAACACATGAGGCCTTTTAATATTAGTTTGAGCTGATTTGATGTTTTATTGTTTTAATTGTATTCGTATTAAACATTTGTGGACCCACTCAAACCTTCACAAGTTCTGATCCTTGCCTGCAATGTCTATGATCGTAAAAGCATTCGGCAAAATGCCTAAAATGTAAATCCACAACACTTCTCTCATTGGAAGACGTATAATGTTATGCATTTCAGTTCCAGGTCTTTTAGCTCTGCGGTACATTATGATTTATGATCTCAGAGATGGCTTCAATTATTTAACTCCTCAGAGTTTCTGAGTGGATGTTGTTGGTCTCATTTAGTCCATCATTCATTTTGTTTTTGGCAGGGTAACACACCCTCTAACTTAACCTTCTTAAACTTTTTGTGCAGGAGACATCTTCAGACACAATATGCAGGAAACTCAACCTGGTCTGAAAACGTTGACAAAAGTTTTGGAGTTGCTGCAAACAAGATTGTGAGGTCGTAGTTCATTTAAAAAAAGATTGACAATTTCTGACACAAAACATGGAGTGCAAAGACCTTAAGGTCAGAATGGAGAAACCAGCTCGAGTGCGCTAGAATTTGAAAGTATGCAGTCGAAATAAATCTGCCCCTTCCTTCAGACTTCCTTACAGAGCCCCTCCTCCAACACACACGAACGCGCACATGACCAATGAGGGCACGAGATAAGTTTGTGCACAGATGGAAGGCTGACAGGCAGGTAGGTCATCCAGTTATTTTAGCCGGGCCGGCCAAAATGATTGGTCGTGCTTTTTACAGCGCCACGGCTTCCACAGATGACATTTTTTAATGTATTCATTGCTATCGGGATGTTAAGAGCATTCCATGGAATATAATAAAAAGGGTTTCTGAAGTGAATTACCTACCCCACCTTTAAAGCTGGTGTAAGTGTATGTAATGAAATTAAACATTTTAATTATTGTCAACAAGAAAGGACTCAAACAAACTACTGAAATAAATGGACATGGTTGCAATAATTGTAATAGTTAATTGACTCATCATTTTAGGGAAACAGTTAGTAATTCTCTTGACGTGAAGGATTACGTTTCTGATTTAAGCGATGAGGAGACATCTTCAGACACACACGGCAGGACGGAGGTGAAAAAGGCAGACAATCCAACCTGGTCTGAGGACTTTAAAGGGCCCATGTCATGGCCATTTCCACTGATCATAATTCCATTGTTGAGGTCTACTAAAATAGATTTATACTGTGCATTTTTCCAAACTCACATTGGTTTCTCATACAGCATCTCTGTAAACTACGTGTATTCACTGAATTTCACTCTGCCTTTAACGGCTCGTTGTAGCTCCAATAGCTCCAGCCCCCACCCTCCCTGTGAGCACAGTGTGCTCTGATTGGTCGGGACGTTGTGAATCGCGCTGAGCTCCGTGGAGGTGTTGTTTCCTTGTTAGCGATACACAGCCAAACTCATCCTGAGCACACACAAAGTCACAGCCGAAGTAAAAACAATAAGTGTGGCTTGATATTGAGTAAGAAAAAGGTTGATAAACGCTGTGAGAATGGGTCTGCAGAGAGAATTTCGCCGCGATCCCAACTGTCTGTTATCAGCCTGCAGCCAGGGAGGAGAAATCAGCAGAGCTGCCTGTGTGTGAGGAAGTCCGTGGATTGGTCAATTTGGACTAATCAGCGGGGGCTTAACGTAACGGCTCTGCGGATTGGTCCATTTCGTTCCGGGTGCGGCTTGACATCATGCCGTACCCGGAAGAATCAAATGGACAGTGACGTATCTCCAACGAGGCGCTTTGGGGAGGTATTTTCTGTGTTAGAGTTTTACTCGCTACAGGGTGTACTTTGAGGGTTTTGACTCTGCACACCGTTTACATGCATAAAAACCTTCATAACACACAAGGGGACGGGTAATAACCGGAAAAGCATGACATGGGCCCTTTAATGAAACACAAAGATTTAAGAGTTGCTGTGTAAACCTGATCGACACAATGTGAGGTCGTAGTTATTTTAGAACCTTTTAGCAAAGTTGGACTGAACATATGAACATGGTGTGCTTAAGGCTAGTGTTTTTTATTATAATGAAATCTAACTGTACATTATAGTCAACAAGAGAAGACTCAAACCAACTACTGAAATAATTGGTCATTGTTGCAATCATTTAAAGAAGTAGTTATCTCATCATCTTAGGGAAACAGTTGGTCATTTTCTTGACATGATGGGTTACATTTAAATGAAAGAGATAAGGGTGGCTGTGGCTCAGCTGGTAGATGGTTGTCTTCAAATCTGGAGGTCAGTCAACATGTCGAAGTGTCCTTGGGGGAGATTGGCCAACGGTGAGTGTGTGTGAATTGTAGTCTTCCTGAGCAAGTGTGTGTCAGCTTCTGTCTGTGTATGAATATTGATGAAAGGGTGAATGCTCACTTGTTCAAAGCTCTTTGAGGGGTCGCAAAGACAATCTAGTTCATTTAAACAGAAAGTCTAACCACGGTCGCTCTCTGCGTCTATCACTAACATACGGCCCAATTCCAATCAGGCCTCTCCAACCTCCAACTTTGGGGTGTTACGTTATATAGCAGACCCTCCATGTGTGTGTGTGTGTGTGTGTGTGTGTGTGTGTGTGTGTGTGTGTGTGTGTGTGTGTGTGTGTGTGTGTGTGTGTGTGTGTGTTCATGCAGGCGTGGATGCATAGGTGTTCTTAGAACAGGTTACACATTGCCTAAACTAGCTGGTCACTAGTTTTGAGAAAATGTTACTCTAAAGGAGAATAAGTTGGGGACTATTTTCTACGGCAGATTGGTCCAAATTTGGTCGGTGAGTATTCCTGGGAGCAAAATGGGGTGTGTTTGGGATTGAGGCTAAGACCCCCTACTGTCTACATACAACCTATCTGATGAGTTTTGCCTCCTTAATTTAAAAAGAAATACAATAAGCAAATGTTTTGTTCAATACTGATGTTCAGTTTCATAAAGTATGAGAAAGCTGATGTAATATTTTCATCACTTTGCGAGTCTGTGATGTTCTGTGTACTGATTCTTCACTTTGATGGCTTTGTTACTCGTTCCCCCCTCAATCACTCAATCAAAGTTGATTTATATAGCCCAAGATCACACATTTTACATTTGTCTCAGTGGACTTTACAGTTTGTACAGATTATAAATACGACACCCCCTTTTGTTCTCCTTCTCCTCACTGCTCAGGAACAGCTGATCAGCTCCTGGCTCCGCCTCTGCTGAGCGTGATCAGGTGTTCCTGATTCAAGTTTCAAGGCTTTATTGTCATTCGTACATTAGCTACAGTGTAGATATGTCAATGAAAAACGTAGGTCACAGGCTCCTCCAAAAGTGCAACATATGATCTCCACTAATCAAGTGACTGCAGCAGTCATTATCTTTGGTCAGGATTTAACTCTCATGTCGTCTTGTTTACTCTCGATAAGGATGTGAACCGGCAACCCTTCAGTTCAAAGACCAAGTCCCTACAGACTGAGCCCTGACTGCACGGTTATCTGCAGCTAGTATTTGTTCATGTATACGTCTGTTAAAGTATTATTCTGACTTGTGTTTCATCAGATGGCCCATTTTAAATCATTTTAGATCACTCCTGCTAATGTGATGTAGACGCATGAAAACATCTGAAAGTTGAACCGGTTGAGGAACAAGGCAATACAACAGCTGACCACTAGGTGGCGGTGTAGGATCTGCTAGAGATACTCATATCAGTTTTTGTTGTTTTTCTCAGGGATGTAAAAGTTCTAGATAACTAATGTTGGCTTCTTAATGTTTTATATTTAATCCCAACTTCAAACTTCAAAATATAACATTCTTTAAATGGCTTAGAAATATAAAAAAGGAGAAATATTTGCCCTAAAAATGTAGTCATAAGAGCTGTTTGTGTCTTCATATCATGATGAAGCTCAAGAAAGAAGAATACTGTAAGTGTTGTTGTAGTTTTTCTCAGTGGAGCATAACGTGGCTGTCCAATCTGGCATCTCAACGTTTAATATTTTGCATACAAACTGAAAGATACAAAATAATTTAAATGGGTATGAAAAAAAAAAGATCTGCCTTTTCTCAATGAAAAACATCTTTGAATGGGTGTCACAGAACCCTTAATAAATACCTTTTGCAGTTTTTAAATGATCTCATAATTTAATGTATGTATGACTGTGATTCATGGAGAGAGAAAAGTGAACAAGTGAAAAAAGAAAACTCAGATTTTTTGGGTGGTGATATATATTTCTCAATGTTTACAAATAACTATTTTTTTTTTTTTTTGTTAAATGCGGCATAGTACATTACACATTTTTTTTCCAGAGAGCAAAATAAATATATTGCACTTAAAAATCATCAAAACACAATCTCGTTCGGTGTACAAAATAAAACGTTTTCATGTAAAAAAAAAAAGGGACATTATTCTCAGTGGTGAAGGGGGAGGGGCTTATGGTTACACTGATGATATTAACACTCGGTTCATGTACACACCTGTCACACAAAGCTCAGGTTACACATCGGTAAAAGGTAAATTAGGAGACGTCATTAATGAACAGATGGGATAAAACGAGCTGCTTGCACATGAATGATTATGCAAGGGGTCAGAAGAGCATATATGTCCATATTCAACTTCAACTGGCTTCATATGATGTGAGAAATGTGGCAAACTGTGACAATAACAGTGTTTGTGAAACCCAAATGTATACATTAGTACAGAGAAAAGTCTTCATCGTCCATAAAGCACTCAATCAACACGACGTCCCATTTCTGATGCTTCCAGGATGCAACAAGCCCAAATATGTATAGATTTGTTTCTTTGCATAAATCATGACAGCCTCACTGCAAAACATCTGCACCAGAACCAGATATCTTGTCTAATATTTTGTCCGTAAAAGTCAGATTTTCCCCTGTAAGAACATTATTGGAAGTTGTTTGAAATCTATATTGTATCAGTCATTTTCTAGCAATTAGTCTTGGAATAAAACTTTATTGATGCGTCTCAGAAAACTGATATTGTGGGGGTTTAGTCAGATGATCATACATTCAATTGAATTTGTCCCCCTCTGTTATCATTTGGACATGCTATTTTCTGATATGTGATAGATTCTAATCAGAAAAGCACCCCAGGAATAATAAGTGAAATGGGACAAAAGTGTCAAAATGGACAGTGTTTTTATGAATAACATCTGCAAATTGTTGTTATTTATCAGCCGACAAACACAGATATATCCGTCTCTAGTTTTTAGGATTCATTTATAGACAGTGACACGAAGAGATGGAGAGTTTTTGATCATGAGCTACTTGATTTAAAATGTGGTGCTTCAGGTACGTCAATGCCACCTGCTGTGCAACTTCTATTTCTTCATATCTTTTAAATAAATGACTCCCCACAGTGAGCTGCCGTTTGTATGCACCTGCACCGGTAATGAGTGTCACCACTTGCCTTTAGTAGCCTGCATGTTTTAAATGAGCGAGCAGAGAGCCATTACTTCCAGGTGCAGACGCTCTGTCCTCGCTCTGCTGCAGCCATGAATCAGAGCGCTAACAGCGACCGCTAACACCGACCGCTAACAGGCTGCAGGCCACACACGGAAACAGAAACACTGGGATGTTTCACACTCATGCTGCTGTCTGTTTGCAATAAAAACATCAAGTCACGCTGCTGTTACCCTTCAAATGTTTCTGCACATTAAAAGAGATTTCAATGCATGATTAATGAGGTTACATTAAAGCCTGTTTGTTCCCCTAAAGCCCAGAGGAAACACATTTATGGCCACTGAAGTCAAATCTGACTTCTTGAGACCTGATTATTTAAACACATTGTGTAGTTGACTCCATCTTAATGAAGACCCAGTCACACCAGTAGCTCCCACAGCAAAAACATGTGGAGTGACGGTCGTTAGAACATTTTGACGGGGGAAAATAATATAAATACATGATTTTATGGACGTTTTTTGACATATCAGAGCCACTTTTTGAACGGTTTGTTTTTCATATAAATAAATAATAAGTTATACTATAGTTTCCAACATTTTTGATTGATCCGTCTCTTGTAACGTCAGTAAAATCGGCACTGTTGGGACAGTTTGCCATCGGTCATTGTCAACGTTTTGATCCACAGATTTGTTATAAATTAATGGATTTTGATGTGTTTTTTTTTAATTGTGGTGTGACCGAGCCTTTAAAGCACACAAAGAGCCTTCACCCTGTTGCAGGTTAGAGCTTATCATCCCATAATATTCCATATAAAGTTCCCCAGCGTGTTTCTACTGCGGTCAGCATGCGTCCTTTGAATATTTTCTTTTAGCAATCTACAGAGAGGATTTCCCTACGAGTAAATGTTGCATTAATGCATTTGAACAGACATTATTTCGAACTGAGCGAGGAGCTGTACATATGGCTGGCTTTCTATAAAACAGAGAAAAGCTGAGAGTCTGCGACGCTGAAATGTCCTCAGTGTCCAACAAACTGCAGCGTCAGGTGAGTCTCTCAAAGTCCTCTTCTTAGGTTCACACAGCTTAATAAATGTCCTTTGAGGGATTAGTCAAGTTTGTCTTCTCCTTTCCGTCTGTAAAGCCTCGTGTAGACCCTTCAGAGGATCTTCTAAATATTGTTCAATTGAGTTTTAAGGTGAGCATCCACTTTCTGTTCTTCAAGGGCCAAAACCAAACACGCCCCACTGTACAGTCTTAGGTTGTTTTGAGGTCGTTTGTACAATGTCAGTAAAGTGTTCGTAGAAACACGAGGCGCCACGGTCCTTTTTTTTTTCATCATCAGAACGCCAAATCCCCTTCCTCTCGCTCGCTAAACTATTTACACAGACCAGGGGGAAAGGTACAAACAGGATGAGGAGGTGGAGGGATAACTGGTTTCTCTGGGGTGTTGAGGTGAAGATGGGCCGTCTCCTCCCCCAGGACGGAGTCATACGAAGGGCGTCATGACGGTGGAGGGGTGCCGCAGCCCCTGGATGGCGGCGTACGGCCCCTGCTGGAAGTAGTGGTGGTAGCGGGGCATGTGGAAGGAGGGGAAGGAGGGCCCGCTGCCCTGCAGAGCGCCGGGGGTCAGGGGCATGCCCAGCCGGCTGTAGGGGGGGAGGGAGCCCTGGATGGGGTGAGGCAGGGAGCCGGAGCCCATGGCCGACAGAGACTGTGGGTGCTGGAAGCCCGAGAAACCCGAGGCGGAGGTGACCCAGGAGCTCAGGGAGAGGTTGTCTGAGGCGGAGAACGCTGAGCCTGCAGGAGGAGACACAGGTATTAGGGTGGAAGTGGCTAACTGTAGACTTTTAAAGATATTGAAGTGACTGTTATTTTGTATATCTTGATTGTTGTGCTTTTATTTAGGTCTTAATGTGTGCATGTATAAATGTGTCTTTGATTGTGTATATATAGGATATACATTTTTTTATACATATTTGTATTTTTGTATTTGGGATTGTGGGAAACGGTATTTCGATCCCTCTGTCTGTACACACAAACTGGAAGATTGACAATAAAGTTGACTTTGACTTTTAAGAGTCCTCTCCTGCTGATGTTCAGGTGTATATCAGTATGTAGTGTCTCTACTTTAAAGAGTCCTCTCCTGCTGATGTTCAGGTGTATATCAGTATGTAGTGTCTCTACTTTAAAGAGTCCTCTCCTGCTGATGTTCAGGTGTATATCAGTATGTAGTGTCTCTACTTAAAGAGTCCTCTCCTGCTGATGTTCAGGTGTATATCAGTATGTAGTGTCTCTACTTTAAAGAGTCCTCTCCTGCTGATGTTCAGGTGTATATCAGTATGTAGTGTCTCTACTTTAAAGAGTCCTCTCCTGCTGATGTTCAGGTGTATATCAGTATGTAGTGTCTCTACTTTAAAGAGTCCTCTCCTGCTGATGTTCAGGTGTATATCAGTATGTAGTGTCTCTACTTTAAAGAGTCCTCTCCTGCTAGATGTTCAGGTGTATATCAGTATGTAGTGTCTCTACTTTAAAGAGTCCTCTCCTGCTGATGTTCAGGTGTATATCAGTATGTAGTGTCTCTACTTTAAAGAGTCCTCTCCTGCTGATGTTCAGGTGTATATCAGTATGTAGTGTCTCTACTTTAAAGAGTCCTCTCCTGCTGATGTTCAGGTGTATATCAGTATGTAGTGTCTCTACTTTAAAGAGTTCCTCTCCTGCTGATGTTCAGGTGTATATCAGTATGTAGTGTCTCTACTTTAAAGAGTCCTCTCCTGCTGATGTTCAGGTGTATATCAGTATGTAGTGTCTCTACTTTAAAGAGTTCTCTCCTGCTGATGTTCAGGTGTATATCAGTATGTAGTGTCTCTACTTTAAAGAGTTCTCTCCTGCTGATGTTCAGGTGTATATCAGTATGTAGTGTCTCTACTTTAAAGAGTCTCTCCTGCTGATGTTCAGGTGTATATCAGTATGTAGTGTCTCTACTTTAAAGAGTCCTCTCCTGCTGATGTTCAGGTGTATATCAGTATGTAGTGTCTCTACTTTAAAGAGTCCTCTCCTGCTGATGTTCAGGTGTATATCAGTATGTAGTGTCTCTACTTTAAAGAGTCCTCTCCTGCTGATGTTCAGGTGTATATCAGTATGTAGTGTCTCTACTTTAAAGAGTCCTCTCCTGCTGATGTTCAGGTGTATATCAGTATGTAGTGTCTCGACTTTAAAGAGTCCTCTCCTGCTGATGTTCAGGTGTATATCAGTAGGTAGTGTCTCTACTTTAAAGAGTCCTCTCCTGCTGATGTTCAGGTGTATATCAGTATGTAGTGTCTCTACTTAAAGAGTTCTCTCCTGCTGATGTTCAGGTGTATATCAGTATGTAGTGTCTCTACTTTAAAGAGTCCTCTCCTGCTGATGTTCAGGTGTATATCAGTATGTAGTGTCTCTACTTTAAAGAGTCCTCCTCCTGCTGATGTTCAGGTGTATATCAGTATGTAGTGTCTCTACTTTAAAGAGTCCTCTCCTGCTGATGTTTCAGGTGTATATCAGTATGTAGTGTCTCTACTTTAAAGAGTCCTCTCCTGCTGATGTTCAGGTGTATATCAGTATGTAGTGTCTCTACTTTAAGAGAGTCCTCTCCTGCTGATGTTCAGGTGTATATCAGTATGTAGTGTCTCTACTTTAAAGAGTCCTCTCCTGCTGATGTTCAGGTGTATATCAGTATGTAGTGTCTCTACTTTAAAGAGTTCTCTCCTGCTGATGTTCAGGTGTTATATCAGTATGTAGTGTCTCTACTTTAAAGAGTCTCTCCTGCTGATGTTCAGGTGTATATCAGTATGTAGTGTTCTCTACTTTAAGAGTCCTCTCCTGCTGATGTTTCAGGTGTATATCAGTATGTAGTGTCTCTACTTTAAAGAGTCCTCTCCTGCTGATGTTGCAGTCGTGTATATCAGTATGTAGTGTCTCTACTTTAAAGAGTTCTCTCCTGCTGATGTTCAGGTGTATATCAGTATGTAGTGTCTCTACTTTAAAGAGTCCTCTCCTGCTGATGTTCAGGTGTATATCAGTATGTAGTGTCTCTACTTTAAAGAGTCCTCTCCTGCTGATGTTCAGGTGTATATCAGTATGTAGTGTCTCTACTGTGACATGTCTCCATGCTTTAATGTTCAAAAAGCTCTTTATTGTTCTCATACTGTCTGTGCTGCAGAACCTCTTTTCACCCTCTGTCTGAAACCAGAGCCCAGTCTGCTCTGATTGGTTAGCTGGCCGGCTCTGTTGTGATTGGTCAACCCCTTAGATATGTCCCGCCCCTTAGCCTATCGCTTACAATGTGTTGGAGCGCTAGCCAATAGAAGTGCGAGTTTTGCATAGTGCTGTCACTGTTTTACAAACAAAGGAGTCTAATGGCGCATTTCCACCATGGCGCGGAGCGCGGTTTAAGCGTGCCGTGTCGTGCCGTGCTCGTTTTTGGTTGCGCTTCCACTAGGCCTAGTTCCGGCCTCTTTTCTGGCCCGACAAAATTGTGGTTCTATCGGGGCCAACAAACAGGGCTGAGTCGGGCTGAGTATGCTAAACTAGAGAGAGGATCGCTGGCAAGGAGGCTACAACTACAACAAGATGGACATATTTGACCGTGATTTAATTGTAATACACGTTTCAAAATGATGCCGAAGTAACAACATACTGATACCGGTTAGTAAAAACCATGAATTAATGCTTTGGCAAGTCTGCAGACAGACGGCAGGCGAAAAACCTTTTAAAATGCGTGTTTTCTGAATGGAGATTGGCTAAGCTAACGCAGTATATGCTCCGACCGTCCACACTCACAACAACTGCCTTTACAGACATAAATAAAGCAGCGACTGTATTCGCCATGACACAGGCAGTCTGTGGTGTGTACTTGTTTAACTTTTGTCGAGTTTCTGAACATATATGAGGAGCTGTGAGCTCTGAGTGCTAACAGCTAACGGCTGTGTTGTTTTTCTGGGGTTCTCATTGAAGATGACGTCACGGCTCCGCCTACACTGCGTTACTATAGTAACTACCCCAGTTCCTAAACTGTAATGGAAGCGCAGCATGAAGTGAGCCGGCCCTGTTAAGGCCCAACGCGGCCAAGCAGTACCGAGCGTGGCCGAGGCCGACCGTGTGGTGGAAATGCGCCATAATGGGAGCGTTTCAGGCGGGGGGGGGAGTGTGTGGGAGAGAAACTTCCTCTGGAGGGAACTTTGAGATTTTAGCCTTTGCAGACCATTTACATGCACACAAACCTATATAACACTACAGGAAAGGGAAAACCCAAAAAAGCATAATAGGGTCTCTTTAAATAAAAACTATATGAATAAAAACTGAATTTAACTCAAAATCAATCTGGTTAATATTCAAATCATTAATCAAAAGTTCCAACAAGGTGTGTGTGTGCGTGTGTGTGTGTGTGTGTGTGTGTGCGCGCTCTCACCTCTGTTGTGTATGCTCAGTCCGTCCTCACTCATGTTCTCCTCGTCTCCGGCGTAGGTCCTGATCGGCGACCGGGCGTACGAGTGCTTGTGGATCAGATTCTCAACACTTTCCCTGCAGCAAAAGCCGAAGAGAGAGCCCCAAAATAAATCTCTTTGCTTCTATTGTAGGGACTCATTACGCACCCCAAAACAAATAACACATATTCTTGTTTATGAGGATTTTCACAGCAGATAATTGTGGAATATGAATTCGACATGAGCACCTGCATTTTTACTTCTAAAATGTGTATACAAAATATTTGCTACCAGCATTAAACTTGAATACAATTATTTTCTTGCAGTTCCAGCATTACAATAAAATATGTGACTTTTTCTTCATTATTTTTACCTTTAATTATCAATTAATTTTGCTTTAAAAAATCCTAGCCACAATAAAAATAACGTTTACCAACTTCGTCTGTGTTTGCACATTTCTAGTTGTCTGATATGTGTTTGTACCGACTGTGCATGTATATGTTGGTGTGTGTGTGTGTGTGTGTGTGTGTGTGTGTGTGTGTGTGTGTGTGTGTGTGTGTGTGTGTGTGTGTGTGTGTGTGTACTATCCCACAAAGTCCATTAGCTCATTTGAGTCTTGTCAGATAGCACTTCTCAAACACAGTGACACAAATTGTTGGGGGAGGCAGTGGGCACGTGTGTGTGTGTTTGTATTTGTGTGTGCATGTGTGTGTGTGTGTGTGTGTGTGTGTTTGTGTGTGCATCTGTGTGTGTGTGTGTGTGTGTGTGTGTGTGTGTGTGTGTGTGACAGGCAAGTGGTCTGCATCATAAGAGCCATGCGTCCACATTAGCAGCCCCCCCTCCCTCTGCAGCTCCAATTAGGTTAGGAAAGTGCAATATCTGTCAGCAGAGGAGTACAAATGTGTGTGTTTTTATCAGCGTCGGGCCCCTCCGGCACAGAGGCCACAGCGAACTCCCACAATGCACGAGGGGCGAGGGGAGGGGGAAGAGGGGGGGCTGCATACTGGTTTCTATCAGTCACTGCAGCCAATTGAATTACAGTGTGTTTTAGTGCAGTGGCTGACTCCAGACTAATGTGATTTCTGCAGCTCCCCGAAGATCAATTGATCAGGTCTAATTCACAGCCCTCAAAAAGAGAAAGACACAGAAGAAGAAGAGGAGGGGGAGGGGGGGGTGGGAGGAAGAGGAAGGGGGGGGGGGGGTGTCTGGATCTCAGATTTGGACGTCTCTGCTTCAGATTGTTCGATCGAGGGAAATGGGCAGATGGTTTGATTTTGTCAGCTGATTTTGGCCGTAGTGCCGGAATCAGGAATTACGAGAAGTGTGTGTTTTGGCAGCGTCAATAAAAATCCTTTGGACGGGGATTTGTAACTGTGTGTGTGTGTGTGTGTGTGTGTGTGTGTGTGTGGTGTGTGTGTGTGTGTGTGTGTGTGTGTGTGTGTGTGTGGGTGTGTGTGTGTGTGTGTGTGTGTGTGTGTGTGTGTGTGTGTGTGTGTGTGTGTGTGTGTGTGTGTGTGTGTGTGTGTGTGTGTGTGTGTGTGTGTGTGTGTGGCACTCGATTTGTTATGCACAATATGGTACAGTACGTAAAACAGCATCAACTTAAGAAAGTAAATGGAGAGGCAAAGAAAAGACAAAGAGAGATAGAAGATGGAGAGCTGACGTGGAGGAAAGATAAGAAAGAGAAGACATCATATATGATATAGGAGGATGGGATGAAGATAAGGAAAAAACACAAAATAAAGAAATATAAGAATGTAAGGTTGAAGACCGGAAGAGAGGAAAAAGAAAAAATATATCGAAGAAGGAAAGTAAACGTTTGTACAAAACTAGAGAGAAACAAAATACTCCAAATAAAAAAAGGAAGAATGACGGAGACGAGCAGGTCAGAAGGAATGGACAGACTCAAAGACAGAGGGAGGAAGGACAGGCCGGGAAAAAGAGAAGAAAGGAAAGAAACAAGATACAATACAAAAGAAAGAAAATATGGAAAGAGGTCAAAACAGGAAGAATGTAAAAGAAAAATGACTATTGAGGAAAGAAGGAAAGGAAGAAAGACACACATAGAGACATATAAACACGGTAGCTTCTGTAAAGCAGTGGTCTCACACACACACACACACTCTTGTATCTTATCGTGAGTAAACACACGGCGCAGGACCCAGAATCCCCTGTACCTCTCCATGTCCGTCAGCCGCGAGGAGTCCCGGAAACCTTTGGCGAACGGGTTGCTGTCGATCTTCAGTTTGGTGATCTGGGAAACACCGGAGCGGAAATGTGTCTCCTTTATTTTAAAATGTAAAAACATTTCTCCTTCTGTTTCTGTTTTTCCTCCCGCCCCCAACACGCTGCTTCATGCAGCTCGGCTCTCTTTACAAACACAACAGAGCTCAGGATTCAAAGATATTTATTAACTTTGATACTTAGCCAGGTACTGTCCTTCTGTAATTCCATTGATACTTTTCAATACTCTACATCACATGTGTCAAACTCAAGGCCCGGGGGCCAAATCAGGCCCTTGGTGGATTTAATTTCGGCCCGCAGGATAATTTCTAATTACTATTAGATCTGGCCCGCCGGTATATTGCACGCACACCTTCACTCAATCCTGAGGGTCTCCTCAGCTCAGAGCCTGACCCCAAACATTGATGAACTTGCACCCAAGATGAGATGCCAAGTATCTGGCTTGAACTAGCATCACAGAGCAGCACACTGAGTTTAATGGATGTTTCCTTCTGCACTTTTTTTCTTGAGACAACAGGGCATGTTTGGTTTGTTCTTTGAGGGAAATTGTTTTTTTGAAGCTGTTGTTGGCCTGTGGAGAAATGTAATCATAAGAAATGACTCGGCAGATAGAGCCATAAGAAATGAATGCAACTGATTATTTAATGTTTAATGTTGTTTTTATAGGCAATAATTTAAGCTTTGTTAGTTCCAGGTTTAATATGTGCAATAAGTTAATTTCAATAAGTTTTGCAATAAACATTGAACCAGTCCGGCCCTCGACTAGTACCCATTTTTTAATTTTGGCCCACTGTGTATTTGAGTTTGACACCCCTGCTCTACAACATTTTCAAAGCCTATATTGAACTTTTTAAATACTTGACCAATGACTTTGATATAATTAAAAGCTACTCTATGTGTCTTGAAGCTTCTCCTTTTAATGGGAAGCAAGAGCAGTGTTTACAAGTTGATCCAAAGAAGAAGAGAAGACATTGCCCTTTAATTCCCATCACTCACCAGCTGGTTCTGATAGGCCGTGACGGCGGTGAAGACGGTCTCCGTGAAGACGAAGGTGCGAAACTCCTCCGACTTGAGGTTGAGCAGCGAGGCGGTGTGGTCCTTCTTCTTGATGATGTGGACCCGAGGCTGGTACTTGTGCATGGAGTTCAGGATGATCTGCAGGAGGACAAGCGGGGCAAGAATGAATGGCGGTCAATGGGAAACGTGAAGGGTCAACAGTGAAGACAGACGGTCAAAGTGACGGTCAAGGTGTAGAAAAAGGTGGCAGGAATCCTTTGTTCATCACATTTTGGTAATGACACATGTATCATTGCTACGTAGTTAGCTTGAAGGCATCCCACTGGGCTTTGGGAAAAAAGGAAGGTTGTTTTCACTGCCGTTTGACGTTTTATAGACTAAACAATGTTGAGAAAATACATGAGAATTCATCCTGTTGACAAACAAAAAAATTGAAAGTTTTACTCCAGAATTTTTCACACATTATCCAACAACATTAAAAGGATAAAGTGCATAATGTTTAATTATTTAAACACATTTAAGTCATCTTTTAGTTTAAGAAGTCTTTAAAGTGCTGCAAAATATTGTTGATTTTAATGCCAACGTTTTAATGAAAACTGGGCGAACTCAAGCTGCTGATGAAGATCATGTGATATGACCAGAAGCACCAGAATGACCCTTGCACCCATCTTAATTAACGTAAAAAAATGTTGTTCTGTTTCTTTCTTTTTCTGATATTTCAGTCAGACAACTCACGTGTTTCTTTAACATGTTTATTAGAAGCAGCATATAGTTGAGTTTGGCGTCTAGGCTCGGGCCTCATCACTCCACAGATATACATAGCACGATGAGTGATGATTAAATAACTAACCCCCCGAGCCTACAGGTGGAAGCTGGGGTGGAAGCTGGGGTGGAAGCTGGGGTGGTGGTGGGGCAGGCGAGCAGCAGCAGCGACGTGGAGGTAGCTGCAGCAATAGCAGCAGCAAGCAATGCATAGATCTGGCAGGTTAAATAGAGCGGCATATTAAGGAGACTCTGTTTGGTTGGTTGTAGAGTGGCAAGGGGCGTTATGTATGAATGCAGCATAAGTGCTCGAGTTGACTGCCTGAACTAGCTCGCAGGCTTCGCCCCATTTTATGAATTTATTTTTGGTAAAACAAGCAGCTTAAGTAAAAATATTGACTTTATCAAATATGAATATTCACTATCTGGATAAGGGATTTAGAGTAAAGCCTGTTTTTGTTCGATGTGCTCTTTGTTTGTTTTGGTTACTTCCATGTGAACATTAGGAGCTATTTTTGGACTGGTTATAAAACCCTCTAAGATAATAATCACCTTGTTTTTCAGGCTGTGTCCAACCAACGGCTAATTCATGGATAAACTTCAGATGTTTTTGGTTCTGAAATGTTTTCCTGCTCCCTGCTTGTGTTTGGCGTGGTGCCTTCAGGGAAAGGAGGATTAGAGGAGCGACTTGCTCTTGACAGGCGAGTAATTATAAAGTCCCAGCGGCCTTTGAACCTGACACAGAGACAAAGCTTTGCAATGGAAACTCTATTTCTGTAAGATCCTTTAAAAAAATGTTTTCACATGCAATTTGGTCGATATCCAGAATTCAACTGACACATTTAGTAAGTCAGAAATTAAAACAAAACCTTTGAACAGAAGTCCTAAACACAAATAAAAATAATAGTCATTTTAAGTACAGCTTTATACAAAGCTCAAATATAAGCAGGCACAAGGTATTGCCTTTCTGGTCAAATGCAGCAATCTTAATGTATTTTCACAATGTTTCCAGAGGTGGGAAATAGTACTGTAGTACCCAATTTGGAGGTACTTGTACTTGAGTATTTCCATTTAATGCTACTTTATACTTCTACTCTACTACATTAATATGGGAAATAATGTAATTTTACTCCACTACATTTATTAAACAGCTTTAGCTAAATGCATCTAAAAAAAAAAACTATTGGACTAACTCCACAAAATAGTCAAATTATTTAAATATTTTACAAAAATGAAATCAGAACTTTGTTAATAAAATGCTTATTGATGCAACATTATCTATACATGTCACATAGTATGAATGTAATTATACACACACATCAAAGCAATTTTTCTGCATAATGATTACTTTTTATAATTTAAGAACAATTTGATGATTTTGTACTTTTACTGAGGTAAGATTTTGAATTCAGGACTTAAAGCATTGGAATAATTACAGACAGTAATATATATATATATATATATATATATATATATTGTAAAACCTGTCATTGGTTTTACGGCCTACGTGACGCGGATTTATTACTTGAATGGCGACTTGACTGACTGATTTGGATCGTGTGCGTTAGTGTGTTAACTTAAACAAAGACAGAGTAGAGAGTAACACGCGCTCACATGTCCGTGTTGGTCCAGCTCGTTGTTCGTCAGTTTCACTTTCTCGAAGGAAACCATTTGCTTCACGAGCTGCTCTCCGGTGAACGGGGAGTCCGGGTGCACGTACAACCTGAGGAGGAAGAAGAAGAAAAAAACCCGTCACATTCTCAACTGTGATTGGTTATCAAACACCGCTCAGCCAATCAACGCACAGCTCTGAAAAAAGGCTAGTAGGAAAAGTATAATTCACCCAGCAACCGCGTTCCATATGATCGTTAAATATTGGAGAAATATTTAATTTATAGTTTTAAATTATTTTCGAGGTTAATTTAAACATTGCATGGCTACAGGACTAAATCAAAATCCATTTAATTAAATACAAATATTTTGTTATGATTTACAAATTAAAGAATTAGCGTATATAAATGTAAATTCAAAATAAGCATTATAGCCTATGTGTAGACTGTAATTATTAGTGTACACTCAATCATAAATCCGCTTTTCCCCGGAAATATATTAAATAATGTATTAAAATAACCCTTTTAATAGTTGCCTCATCTAATCATTTCTTAGTCTTATATATTTGGATATCACGTCCCTCAATATAACCCCAGACACAAAATTGGAATCATTTCAAATTTCAAATGTATATAGTAACTTATTTTTGCTAGGCTTAAAATGGTCAAATTTGAGAATCCTATTGACTCTAAAACCTGCAAATGATCCTAAGAAAATACCGAGGACATGACCTCACTGTCATTGCCTGGATTAATAGCAAATACGACTTCATCTGGCCTATTGTTGAATTGACATCTTCATGACATCAATCAGCATGGCATGAATGTTCCCAGATGCTTCCTGGTAAACAATTACATTATTTCATCGGTCTCCATTAGCTCTTTGCTCTCCAGTTTTCTATATGGCCCACATGTTGTTCAATAAAAACGATGAATAGCGTGTCTGTCTGTCAGGTACATAAACTAAATTAAAAGATGATATAGCCTTGACACTTTAAAAACAGTCATTGATTTTCACAGTCTGTATTTTCTACGGTGGGCCATGACAGGTGGCCGGGTTTGTGTCCCGGTGAGAGGGTGTACCTGGCGGGCAGAGGAGGGTCGGCCTTGCCGGCCACCAGCCAGGAGGACCGGTGGTAAGCGTACCGGTACCGCTTGTTGTCCACCGGGACGATGTCCATCAACACGATGTACTTGGAGTCCTGGTCCACCCCGGAGAAAGAGACCCGGATGGTGGGGAACATCCTCCTGATGGAGAGGAGACCGGTGTTTTTTTATTATTGTGGTACATGTATATGGTCATGTTGCTTACTTGAAACTACTGAAAAACATCCAATTGCCCCCATTTCCTCTCCCGGAGAATACAATGGCCACAAAGAATATTTTTGGTTTCTTTGATTTTCATTTATTTCTTATTCAATATTTTTTATTTCCTAAATGTTATTTCCAAGCCCGAATAAAATCGGTGGAGGAAAAAGTCCCTTCTAAAATATTTGTCTATTTTTGTTAAGTTGTTGCCTTGAAATTAATTAGAAATGTAAAATAAAAAAACACAGTGAGGATCCAATAAATTAACAATCATGTGTATTTCTTCTAACTGAATGCACACCCCCCTTTTCGTAGCTAAAACGGCATGACATTATTTATAACAAACCACTCTCTTGCTTTTACACGCAGGTCACTGTGCAGAAATACAGGCCTAATGTTATACTTTTTGAAAAGAATACAAATATACATCTGGCTTCGGCTTTCTACATGCATGCATTCACTTGTATAAGTGCACACCCAGTCGTGGTTGAATAAGGCTTTATATGGTCCCATAGCTCGTTGTTTCTCTCAGGACGTTAGGTACAACATTAGATTAAGGTGTTTATCAGCACGTGAACTCTGCAGTGTGTTCACTGTTCACAGATCAGCTGTCAGAGGGCTGCAGGATTCTTCTAATTTAATATATTTCCAAAGCTGAGGATTGTGACAAAGAACCTGGACACCTCAAGAAGAGAGCAGGCTACATATTTGTGTGCGTTGTTTTCGCATTAAAGCATTCATTCACCATTTACGAAAAAAATCTGCATAAAGGTTTCGGCCCTATATAAGTAACAGGAACAATTGCCTTTTATAAGACTGCATCATATATACAATAAAGATGTATTTGTAAAGCACTTTAAAACCTCTAGACTAAAGTGCTGCAAATAAAATACAAAAATCACACAGCTCAGCTCACAAGCCATAAAATAAGTAAAAATACAAATCAAAAGGGGGGAGACAATTATTATTATTATTATTATTATTTTATTATATATATTTGTATCTTGCATGAGACTCTTGGATATATAATAAAGTAACAAAATATTCATAAAAGTCAGTAAAGTAAAATGAAAAGGACCTTTTATAAGAATGAATCACATCTGTACACAGACATTTGATTGGTCTACCTTCCGGACTTGGTGATGATCATCTCGGTGCCGAGGTCGTGGAATTTGTCCCACAGCTCTTTGGTCTCGAGGCAGCACGAGATCTTCGCCATCTCCTCGCTCGGGACCCCGGGGTTGGTTGGGATGAGCGGCTCCGTGCACACCGCGGGCGCGCTCCCGCTGTAGTCCCCGTGCCCCTCCAGCGAGGACAGGTCCGCGAGGGACTGCTGCGTGCAGGAAGACTTCTCCACAAATTGTTCTTTTTTTTTTTAGAAAAAGAAAATAAGCAGAAGTGTGAGGAGGATTTTGGGGAATTTATTGCCAACATGAAGCTCTGACACTTGATGCAATTTCTATTTTGTGTGTGTGAGTTGTTGTCTTTTGTATAATGTGTATGATGAGTGTTATTTTATTTTATTCGCCAGTGCCCAAGACACATTTTTTAATATGTTAATTTAATATTTAGTATTCTGAATCTGAAGCTCTGTTTAATCAGATACAAGAGAATATATCTAATAAAAAGTCTATAGTCTCATGTATTTAGCCCTTTTTAATCATTGTTATTTCTAGATTATCCATACTGTGCCGTGCCCTGGGTAATGGGAAATAAAAGGGAACAACATTTTATATTTGGCATTTAGGCTACAGCTTTAATATTCGTCGTTAAGGGGAATGAACCACGTTTTAAAAATAATAAATGCCGTTGTTTTATTAATCAATAAAACATTTTGCGCATCCCTTACTTTACTTTGATGAAATCCGGCACACTTTGCACTAGCTTCAATAACACACATTGTTCCATTTAAGACATACATTAATATGAAAAGACATGCACATTGTATTTCATGTTTGCCGTGATCTGCTCCAAAACCCAGTGAGGTATAGGCTTAAATTATCAGTATTTATTTTTTGTAAAAAAAAACCTACACAATTCAAATCACATTCCTCCTTCGTGTTTTAAATCATAACTAATGACTGAAAGAATAGAAAAAGTGCAATTTTTTTTATCGAAATAACGAAAAACACACTCCCTTGTAAATATAACAAGCTATATATTTTTGTGTGAAATTATCAGGATTTATTTATTTACTTGTCTGAAGCCTTGACTGTTCCCTTTTTGCACCGTTTTTTTTAGCACAATGTATTACTTTATTCGCTTAAAGTATATATATTTATTTAGCTGTCTTGGCATGTTATCACACTTGTAGATTATTTAAATAGAGAATTGATTGCAGTTTGGTATTTTTTCCTCTCTGTTGCTACATTGGCTGCATGTCTCCACTTAAATCCTTCCTTTAACAGTTATAATGTTACGCATAAAATCACCTGATTTTGACTCAAATGTACTTTATATTTAATTCCCCATGCACTCTTCCATGCTCACCCAGAGGCTTGATGGTGTTCTCCTCCGTCTCCTTGTCCTTATTGGGCTTCCCACTGGACATCAGGGCGGCTATGGAGAAAGCATTTGCCCGGGACGAGAGCTGCGGTTTCGGGGACGACGTGTACTCCATGTCGGTGATAAATCTGTGACCAAAATACTCCCCTTTAAATGAAAAATAAATAAAAAAATCCTCCAGGAAAAGCTTAACCCCGCCTGCTTTTTCACTCCAAGAGAGAAAAAAGGGGAAATTACGCACAATTTGTCCTCGCTCTTTACGCACACTCTTCTCGCATAAATATTCGCCGCTTTGGAAACACTTGTTACTGCCGGGTTGTGAGTCGAGTTGTCGGCTGCATGGTGGAGGAAGAGGCTCTGACTCCACTAACTCTGTCCTGCGGTGCCTGATCTGAAGCCGCTGCTCTTTGGGAAGCTTCAGTCCGAGGCAGCCTCCCCTTATAATTCCCGGCCTCCCTCCAATCACTGCGTCTGTTTCCACGTCACACTCCCACTGTCCCACAGCAGCAGCCAATTACAAATCCTGAAGCTGTCAGGGGCTTTTTATACATGTCAAATTCAAGATTCAAAGGTTTTATTGTCATATGCACAGCTGCTACAGTGTGGATAATGCAATCTCAAGTCCCATGCTCCTCAAACAATGCAACATGAGACATACACAAAAAAACAATATAAAATGGTGCAAGAAGAAACAGACAATAAATACAATTGTGCAAAAATAATGTTGCAAGACCAATGTAGTAATGCAGAAGAAGTGAACTATATAAATGCAATTAAAAAAAAAATAGTACAATATGCTTAATGTTGCATAGAATACACAGGGAGTGTGGTTTAAGAATAATGACTTCATATGGGGTGATGACAGAGGGGAAATGACTTGTGGTAAGAAAAATATATTTATTTGGACAATATAAAAGAGGGAAGTAACAAGTGGATGGCATGTTCATACTATTACATTCTATTTTTAACTATTTTTAATTTATATATATTTCACTTCTCCTGCATTACTTGCACATTAGTCTTGCACCATTATCCATGTGTCTTCATGATATGGGGAAATGATGGTGAGGAAAACATATTTATTTGGACAATAAAGGAGGGAAATAACAAGTGGAATTGACGTCATGTTTGTAGCCCTCTGGCGGACCCCTGGAGGGCCCCAGACCTCATGTTGGGAGTCACTAACCCAACATGTCAACAGCAGAGATGTTTGCCCAAGATGGAGCTATTTGATAATTAATGGCAGCAGTAAAGTGATGCTGACAGCTTCACACTCATTAAAACACATATTTAATTTTTTAGAATAAGATTAAATATGAACTAAAACCAGAAACCCTCTCCTCTGAGTGTCACCAAATAATGTGGAAAAAAACCCAGTTTTGTTTAGAAATAAAAACATTTGAGTCACTATAGTCTGGAGGATTTTGCCTTTCAACCAAACACTTTCTTACTGCAATGATGCCCAATATACAATAGTGCTTTAGCGTGTCCTGTTCTGTTTATTAATGCAAATAATAGCCTTTTTTTTAAAAAATACAGTGCAGATCAGGCTTAAGATTTAGATTTTATTTATGGGAACTTGGCCAGCAGTATGGGCAACAGTCATTATATGTTAAACATTGTTGCTTATACAATACATGTAATGTAATAATGTTATTCGTAGTGTTATGTTTGTTTAAATATTGTACTTTTTAGAAACTGTTTTAGAAAAATAGCCTGATAAAGTAAAATGCACATATGCACAGGTATACCTATTCCATCAGTATTCAATGTAAATATTTGTATGTGCATGTTTATGTATATGCACCAAAAACACCAAGACAAATTCCTCCTATGAGTTAACCTACTTGGCAACAAACCTCGGTAATCACAAAGGCCTTTCTGATTGGCTGTTTTTTCCCCAGGGTATCCATGTTTTGCAGAGTCGACACAGTAAGGCTTGTTAGATGTTTTGCACAGGAAAACATATGTCATATTAACATTAGAATAATGACACAAGCACGTGTTACGTTTTTAAAAAACAACAACTTTATTGAATGTCGATACAATCTGCAGGTTAACTGAACCACTGCTGTTTACTCTCCCACCTGTAGAGGTGATTGTATTGAGTGATTAGCGGAGCCATTTTCCGTGTCTCCGTCAAACAACATGGAGCGTCTATGATAAAGCTTTGAGAGCGTTATTGTAAAGGTTGTAGTGATCACTGATTCATACATTGGGGTTACATAATTCAATCCAGGAACTACAGGTTGGGGGTATTGTTTCCGCCCGGACATATATGTTGACGGTACCTCCGGGGTACCTACTGTGTGTCCTCCTCTTTCATTTTCTCTTCTCTTCTGCGGCTGCGACCCGACAGTATGTCAATTTCTGCTCCCCAATAAAGTGGGATTTGCACCTCCGATGCACCGCCTCCGTCTCCCTTCTCTCGGCACTACAAGGTACATATATATTAAAACAACGTATAATGTTCTAAACACTCACCTGTCCTGTTTTACTTCCATGGTGTGCGAACAAAAGAGTCCCTGGGGAAACAAACACCAATTTAAAGTTCCGGGAATATGTGTTTGTGTTAGATTTCTGTGGCTTTGTGGTAGTTTTTCATGTAGGAGAGACTGGGGACGGCTTCTGTTGGAAGTGGCGGCTGGTGGAAAATATTTTAGGTGGGGCTGTGGAAATGATGACCAAACAATACTAGGGGGTCCGGGGGGATGCTCCCCCAGTAAAAGAAATTGAGAAAAGACCCCTTAAATTATGACTTCTGGTGATGTTAGAGGAGGGGGGGGGGGGCTTAAAAATATGAGAAGACTGATCAATACCTCCATAATCTTCAGTGTGGTTAGCTATGAATCTTCCAAAACTTCCAAACACCTTGTCCTGGACATAGTTTCTACAGCATAAACTGTGCAACAGTACAGTAGGCCCACACAAACTGCAGAACACTGGGGCTTTGGGAACACTCAAAATTACTTAAAATGATTTAATTCCCATTTAACCTGTTAACCTGTTTCACACCTTCCCCCCGGTACCGGGCGGATAAACGCGTCATTTGCAGGAAACAACGTCTAAGGAATCTTAATATTGAATAAAACTATGAATGTGTTATATCCATGTAACGGGAAGAAACTCAGCTAACTGATCTTTTTAAAAAAAAAATTAAAAAAAAACCCACATTGCTAGCACTCAGCCTCTGAATTAGCCTCAAGCGAAAAAAACGTAACATACTAAGGCAACTAAACTCACTCTAACTCCCTTATTACTTATCCTAGATGCACAACCAACCACTCTTTTTTGGTGTCCTGGAGACACTGAATCTAACGGTGCCCTCCTCAACACTCAGTGATAAACACTCTAAACGAAAGCGTACATCATCACATGTGGAGCTAAGAAGCTAAACACGTAAATATGGCTTACCTTGGTCAAAAGTGGTCTTCAATGGCATTAAAACGATAAAAAAACGATGCTGCAGTTAATCCATAGGTTCATCCTATGTGTCTGTGCCTTCTTTGAAATTATTTCTGATAATCCATAAGCAATACAACTGCGTTTTAGTTTCCAAACTCCAGAAGGAGACATTCCTCCACTTTGGTTTCGTTTTCCACACGCGAAGCAACCACATTTTTTCTTTACAACGTGTCTGGGTGGGAGCCTCCCCCTTCGATTCTATTGGCTCTAACGGTCACAAGGGTATGTCAACCAACCAAATCGAGCAAGGGGGGCCAGAGATAGGTCAAATCCACCCAAATGACCCCAGATGGCCCAGTTTTTGGCTAAATCTCTCTAAAAAGGTCAAATTTCACTTGTTTTGCATCAATCTTGATACAGGGTACTTATTATATGTTGTACTTTGGATTCCTAAAGCTTTTAGTCTACTAACCCATCATCCAAGGGTAGTTTTCACTATCTGTAAAAAATAATTTTTGGACGGACACTATAATTTACAGTTTTTTACTATGTAAAATCTGAATTTTCTTTAAAATAAAAAACATTTATATTGATTCTGACACTTCTACATCCAACTCACAGGTTTATCATTACTTTGAGAACAAAGATTATTAATTTAACCCTTTTAGAAGGGAAGATATGGTCATTTGTTCTGGGAATGTCATTTTCGAGCCTGAGACCTGAAAAACAGGCTCAGAGTGGAACAGGTTAAGAAAACGGGGAAAAAACCCAGTTTTTTTTCTCACGAAACTGTGTCTCAGGCCGGGCTTCTTAAAATGTAATAAACTATTCATGTGTCCTACTCATTTAACGGGAAGAAACGCAGCTAACTGATGATATGAACCATGTTTACCGAAACAAAACACAAGTCTCACAAGAAGCGTCTAAATGAGCCCTGATCGAAAAAATGCTAACGCCCTCTAGGTATAAATCAATCGATATACTTATCGGATATGCACAAACAAGCTGAGATTCCACAGATTCTAGAAATATAAGTATCATCACTGAGCGATCAGAACTTGCGACAGGGGAAGCAAATACAGACATCACACGACGTAGCAGGTAGCAAAACACGGAGATATGCTCACCTTTTGCTGTTATTCTGATCAAAAACGAGAAAAACGCGGTTTAAGGTTAATCCATAGGCGTATGTTAATCCAATGTGTCTGTCACTTTGAAAAAATTATTGATGATCCATAATTCAATTTTTATGTCAAAAACTGAGTTTTCATTAGCTGCTAATGATAGCTACCAGAGTGTATGACAGCTTTCTGTTTTGTCTCCTTGGATACGAGTCCAAACAACTCACAGACTGCACCGGGCGCTGACGTAGGAGCCCTGTGACCATCAGATTTGACGACGCTGATTGGCTGAAATTATGTTTCGGCGGCAGAGTTTAAAGACAGCAACAGTTGGCTTCTGCTGCACTTGCAGCACTCTCGTCTGGGCGCTGTGCATAGCGCCCAGACGAGAGAGGGTAATGATACACGGGCAAGGCCAGGCAGGAAACATGTAACTTATCAGTAACTTTAGACATCGTAACACAATTTTAAACGATATTTTATTGTAGATTATACATTTTACTGATACCAATTATATAATATTTACCTTGTTTATTAAAAATAAAAATAAAAAAAATATTTTTTAAATATATATTTTTTTATTTTTTATTTTTTTATTTTGTGGGAAGAGGGGGGGCGGCGCCCCTAGCGCCCCTATGGGCCGGCCGCCACTGGTAATGCACCAGTTAATGCACCTTAACGCTAAGTTGTGCAATTTTCATACGTGTAAATATTTGTGAATATGTATGTATGTATGTTAACAGATTTTGTACAGTTTCCTTCTTCATTCATACAGTGAAAAAAATCTGCCTTTTGCCCTCGTTATGTGGTGTGTGAGACCCTCAGCAACTGTGAGAAATGCCTTGAGAACACA